CAGCGGTCTCTAGTGACGTCACGGCAGAGGCACTGACGGGGTTTAGGCCTGTTAGGGGACAAATGAGTCCACAAAGGAAATGCAGGTAAACCTGGTGTTGGAAGATGCATACTGTGCATAACAGTGTCGTATAATCAATTTCAAATTACAGTGTCCAGCTCTGACTGCATGCTGTAATTCCATTTGGCCACAGCATCAGGACTAACATCACAGAATCAGCAAGGTTGGAAGAGACCTTTAAGATCATCAAGTCCAACGATCCACCCAGCACTATCACTGCAACCCCTAAACCATCAGACCTTATCACCCAGTACCAGATCCAGACACCCTTTGATCACCTCCAGAGATGGTGGCTCCACAACCCTCGGCAACCTATTCCAATACCTGACAACACTAACAGTGAAAAATAAATTCTAATATCTAATCTGAATCTTCCCTGTCTGATATTTAGGCCATCTGCTGTCATCCTCTCTCTCACTGCAGGCACAGCAGGAGAGATGGAACCCCTCCTCACTAGAGCTCCTTTCAGGGAGCTGCAGAGGGTGGGGAGGGCCCTCCTGAGCCCTCTCCAGGCTAAACAATTCCAGCTCCCTCAGCTGTTCCTCACAGGACGCATTTCCTGGAGCACTCGTGAGCCTTGCTGCCCTTCACTGGATGCACTCCAGCAGCTCAATTTCCCTTTGAAAGTGAGGGGCCCAAAACTGAACCCAGTGCTGGAGGTGAGGCTTCACCAGCGCTGAGCACAGGGGACAATCCCAGCCCTGCTCCTGCTGGCCACACTATTGCTGACACAGGCCAGGATGCCATCAGCCTTCGTGGCTACCCAGGCACAGCTGGCTCACGTTCAGCTCATATTCATAATCTGTGAACAGCATTCAGAGTATTGCTTTGCTCCAAAGTAGAAGAATCTGTCTGGACTAATTGACAGGTTTTGATGCCAGTCATCATCCAGATGGAAAAATTATGCTGAGACTAGATTTAGGATTTGGCATCTAACCATGAGAACTGATGTCCAAATTGGCTATAGCTACTTGAATTCTGTGAAAACTGGAACTACCTTTGCTGTGGCACAGGTTCTCCACATGATCAATACACATACCTATTTTTTAGCATTGTTAATGTAGCGGAGTGCATAGTTAAGGATAGACTGAAATCATTCCAGATTACTTGAATTGTATGTGATTTATTCATTTTAGTGTGTAGCTGATAAAATGTATTTGTGAGGCCATGACCAATAAAGAACAAAAAACATCTTTTCCAAGGAATTGTCCTAAATTGCCAGTATGTGGATTTCTAACATGTAGAACTGTGTTTCTGTAATTCCTGTATCCTATTTCCACTTGATCAAAAGCATTAATTGAGATGAGCTCAGTTGATTACAGCACGGTGCTAATATCACCAACGTTGTAGGTTTGAGCCCCATATGGGCAATTCATTTTAGAGCTGGATTTGACAATCCTTGCATGCCCCTTCCCAGAATATTCTGTGATTAAACATGACTAGTTTAGTCTTGCTGAATTTACTTTTATTTTCTGACTTACAAAACAACATGCTGCATGATTCTATAATATATCATTCATGAGGGCCATGGTTAAAATAGAAGTTATCGTTTCGTAATTTCTCAATTCAGACACAAAATGTAACTGTCTCTGTCTAGCTCTATAAAAACTGGACGAAGCCACCATAAAATACTGGAAAATGTTTCATAAAGCTGTTGTTATTAGGCAGAATGCTCTAGTTTCCTATCTTTTAGCTTTAATTATGCTAAAAGAAAAAATAAACCACACTAAAATGCACTTTTTACTGCTAAAATGGGTTTACACATTAAAGCTGACGTGAGATCATCTATCAAGATGCATAGTGCCAGTGCCATCCTCTCCCCTCCTATTTCAGCTTTCCACAGATGCTCTTTAGAAAGGGTGTTTGATCTTCCAATACTGGCTTTAAGTTATAAAAAAATTTTTAAATTACATATTGAAAATTACATAATATAATCACTTTACTAGAAAAATATTTATATGCTGAAAGTGACTGTAAGCATTGGGCAATAGGTAGATGGCAGGGAAAGCAATATAGGCTTGGTTTTGAAAGAGGTTAGTATATGTATGTTAATGTATGTACGACTCCAAAACAAGGAGAAGTATGAGAAATAACCTAGAAGGCACAGTCCAGAACATGCTCCCTGCTCTGTTTCACTTCCAAAACTTTTTAAAAAATTCTGCATTGATCTGTATTTGCTTAATTTAGGATGCAAGAAAATATTAGTTAACCATGAAAAATAAACTCACAGGAGAGGAGTATTTCTGATGTAAATAAATAACATTTAAATAAATTCTATTGTCATAGGTTTCCCTGTATTCTTAATTCTGATGTTGGTTTAAATGTTTAAAAATATACGTATACAGAAAGAAATCACCTGTCTTCCATGACAGCCTCTGTTCCCTTTCTGTCTGTTACATGAGCATGAATTTCTGTTTGCTTATGATTGCTCATCTTCATTTTCAGGCTGCCATGTATTTTCTTCTCTCTGGAACAGAGTTGGCTAATAGCTACTCCTGTCTTCTGAAGAAAATCTGCATTATATCCCCAATCTCACGTAATCATTCCATCATGTAGTTGAAACCTTTTATAGGAATGCTACAAATACATTTGTGTTAATCCTTTCTCCTGTAAGTTTCTTCCTAGTCAGTTTTGGAGAATTTTTCCAGGAGAACTAGATGAATCCCCAGATACTTTATTTCAAATTACATTCTATTTATCTAAGGTCAGGAAATGTGATGGAGGAAATAATTCCACATTAAGTGAAAGATGGGCTATTTAGCCTGTCGGGTCTTTTCCATTCATAATTTAGCACATTCTCTGTGTCCTGTGGAGCAGCTGTGCTATGCTCACCACAAAGTGATAGTGTCCCTCAGACTTCCCACAGCACAGTCAGGCAATTACAGAGTATTGGTAGCTGGCATCTTATAGAGAACTATGTGAAAGTAAGGAGTGCCTAGATTAGGTCCACAAAGATCTTTTAAAGTACTCTTTCTTTTGATAGTAACTGAAATAATTGACATAGACAATGTCCCTGTTTTTCCCATTCCTTTTGTTCAGTCTGACTGCTCAGTTAAGAATCTCTGAAATACTAGATTATCAGACAGAAGAAATGCTAGAGAGATTTTAATTGCATATTCTTCCACATAAAATGTAGATTTGTGTCTTCCAATATAGCCCGTTACATGTTTATATAATACAAGAATAAAAATGTATAAACTACCAATGAAAGTCCATTAAATATGGTTGAATGTTATAGTAACTGTTTAGCTATCATCAGTTTCTAAAATGATACAGACAATTACTGGGCAAGAATTCAGTATACATTCACTTTATTTCAAAAGAATGCACTAAAGTGCTCATTTTTAGAGTTCTATGTTTTTTATTACAATTACAAGATGAATTATGAAAGCTTTTCCACCCAGAAAACATTTCCTTGTGCCTATTAAGCAAAGAATTTGTAAATATTGTGGAAAACATTGTGACCTCAACAATCAATACACAATTCAAACAAGACGATGTATCATAGATAGCAGTAGCATGAATTATATTTTCTACATAAGATGGTTTTGTGGAGCCTGGATGTTGGGAAAATACTTCTTGTAGCTAAGAATCAAATGTCACAACACACCTATTTGCACTGGATTATCCCAAAGACATTCGCAAAAGAGCAACTGTATTGTGCAAACAATCACTAAAATTACATTCCTTCTCTCTAAGAGTATTTAGGTGGCAAATTTAAGACCTGAGAGTCCTTACAAGTGCCAGAGGATTTGTGTTACCCACATAAACTGCCCTCCCAGCTGTCTTACTGTACAGTAATAATTACTAAGATCTGTGTTAGAACCAATGTAATTTGCAATATATGCCTAGAATAAATATCTAATATCCAAATATTAATTAATCCAAGGTATGGGCTTTCCTATATAGGCACAATAGGACAACATTGAAAAAAGCAAAAAGCTGTACATTTTACAGGTTTTCAAATATATTCTCACTTACTTGATGATATTTCAATTTTGAATCCAAAGTACATTTACACAAATGCTTTCTTTTCACATGAAAGGCAAAGTCCAAGCCACGGTACAGCAGAGTACCCTTGCACAGCTATCCCATGTTACAGATGGCAGGTGCTGACAGAGGACACGAACCAGCCTCTGATTTCCTGGGAGCTGACATCACTCAGCTCCAGGTCCATACCCAGTTTAGTCCACAGCCTGCCTTCCTGGACTCTCTTGGATGCCAAAAGCAAATTTTCTCCTGCAGGACATTCTGACCAGAAGTTTCTCTGAATGGAGCTTACTTTGGGTTGGCATTTTTTTATTTACTTTGGGATGAACAGCCAGCTCACTCAGCTGACATACACTGGGCAGGAAGACCATGCTTCTTACCATTAACCTTGTTCCTTTTCAGCTTCTGCTCAACACAGCTGCCACTTATCCTCTGTTTCTACCATAGTATACTGCTATCACAAGTCCAGCTGTTACATTTTGTGAGCTGTTCTAAACTCCTCTAGAAGATTCCATCCCATGGTAAATTTAGCTCTAAGTACTAATGTCCCTTTAAGTAGTGCACTGAATATGCTTACGCTTAGCTAGAAACTGGTGAAAATAATTCTCATAATTCTATTTTGAAAACTCTTATCACTTACCTACAAAGTAACTCTTGTAACCAACAACTACTGTTTACACAGTATTTTCTTATCCTTTGGTTTAGAGATAGAGATAATTTCTGTTCCCTAACCACAGCTGTTCATAAGCAATGAAGGGCAAGAAAGGACATATTAATGTTACAGAAGTTCTGAAAGGTCTGACAAATAAAGCAATGCTGCTTAAAAACATTTGTTTTCTAAGACAGTATCACATATAACATGAAGGCCAAAGGGAACACTAAATGTTCTGTGGGAAAAATAATATAGCTGCATAGGTGAAAAGTTGGTCCCATGGTATCTGAATGCAGTACTCCTATTCATCAGGATGAGAACTGGATTCTTGTAGGGATGTAGCTATGATCTCTTTAATGGAGTTCTGTGTTTCAACACAGTTGGAAATGGAAATGTGCATCATTCTCATACAGAACTCAACTGATTGCTTTTTTTTCCTACTTCCAAGACATAAACTAACTGTTAATGCTCTTAATGCTGCAAAAGTATTTCAAGCTATTAATGAAAGATAACTTATACCTCCATGAACATATAAGCAAATGCTGAATTCTGCTTACGTAAGCAACCACCACTGACCATGATAATTACTGGCACTATGTTTCCCGTCTATTGTATGTATAAGTATTTGCTAGAATGAGGACATCCTAATATGCATAAATGAATTATCAACTGTTCATGTAAAATGTTCCACTTTTTACTTACATGTAAAATTAAAAAGGAGACACTGCATATCAGCCAGTAACTTTTTTATCAGATGGTTTATGAAATGCTGGTCAGTGAAAGTCACCCAGTCACCTTAATGTTAGAAAATACATCTTTAGGACAAACGACAGAGGGAGAGACACAAAAGGTTGGAAGCATAGAAGCAAACCCTCATTACTACTAAGAAATCTCTATTGCTGGATGACCAGATTGAATCATCATTTAGGTAGGTGTCATCAAAGTTCACAATCTTGAAGTCCTTCTTAAGGTACATGGCATTCAGTTTGTTTAGTGTTCGAGCAAAGGTATATTTAGATGCACAACTATATGCTTCCATATTGTAGACTTTGTGGAAATGCATATCAAAATATGGATTATCCTAAAAAAAAATTGAGAGAGAATGAAATTACTATACACATTATAGTGTTAGAATTGTAATCTGTTGTTCTCTGCCCAGCTACCTACAGAGCTTTTTCTCAATATGATGGGCTTTAAAGGACTTCACATACTTCTGCTATTCATCTTAAATGGTCTTTTAAAACTTTAAAAAGTAGCAGCTGAAATTCTTTATCATTGGGAATTTTTTTCTGAGTAAAAATTTCTAAGTTTTCTCAAGCATACACTGTATTTATTGGTATTGTACAGTCTTGTTTTGAACTGAATCAATTTGTTTTGTTGCCTAAAACACAGTATATGAAAAGCACTTGCCTTGGACTATAACTGTCTACACCTGTGGGAGAAGAAGAATATTGATCGCCCTTCCTGCTTGAGTTGTATTTCTTTGTGTTTTCCAGCTCTTTGACACAATTAATCCTAGCAGCAGATAAATTCTTTTAAATTCTATGGATATGAATATCTATTATGAATATTTTTAGCAGTGTTAATTACCCCATAAGTTTGAGGTTCAATTAGGCTTTTCTTTAATCAAAAATGAGACAGATTTTGATCATCCCAGCTGTAAAAGGATGAATCATTTCTGAAGAATATTTTAGCACAACACTTCAGAAGAAAGTGTCCATAAAAAATTTTAATGAAATTTTGTTTTCACATACACTCTAAAATCTATTACATTAACTGCAGTTTGCACTGGAAGCTGCAGATGGAGAACTTTTATTACCAGTTACAATGACCAAATTAGAAAACACCCAGATTCTGCCTCAGGTCTCAACCAGAGATGAATGCTATTGTAATAAACTAACAAACAAAAAAATCTCACCTTCCTCTTCTCCTCCAACAGTGCAAATGTGATGTGGAGCCTCTCACATGCAATAAAGCCAAAATTCCTTGGTAACTTAATTTTATTTTTCAGATAATGCATTTTAATTGCATTTTCATTCTTGTATCCCAAATTACAAAACAAGAAAATTGTTATCTATGTACATAATACAGAAAGTAACACTTACTGCATCTGCTTCTTTTCCATCAATCATCTCCAGATCTTTCAAAAACCACTTTTCAACTATTTCATATTTCTCCTCTCGGTCCACTCGCCAGTGTTTAACCATACATATTTCTACTTCTTTACTTTTAGTCACTGCAAGAAAAAAACTAGTTTAGATATGCAAGCAAGTACTTCCCCAAGTTAAACCATCACAGGCAGGGCTGTATTGGGTTATACTGGACTTGATAGCTTTATTTTGCCCAGGAAGTAAGAAGGTGCCATGTTGTCAGTCTATGAAATCTGTCAGATTTTAGTAGATTTAGGATTTACCTTACCCAGCCCCTGTGAAGAAAGAGTCTTGTCTGTTCAAAAGCCTTTCATGTGAACTCACTAGCACTGCAATGAAATCCTCATTCTGGCACTGGGTCTGCATTATCCTGCTTACTTCAAGAGGGAGACTTTTTGCAGTGCTGCAGTTTGGAAATTGCGAAACCTCTACCAAGGTTGTACTTGCATGACTTCTGCTACACTTTCCAGTCTGTGAAGGAAGTTCTCTTATGAAGGCATTACTTTTTTAAAGCAAAACTCTTATTTCCCTATATAGTATGTAAATGAAATCAACATTGAATTTTTTTCTTAAAGCTTCCAGTTGTCCAGTGCTAAATTTATAGAAATTACTGTTTTCCAACTTAGGCAGGAAATGAGATTAAAAAGAGCATGAAGAGGTTTTTTGCAATAACTACCATTATTAATTGATTACCTTGAGTGCTGAGTAGGAGACTGGATTTCTGTAACAGACCATTACAAGTGTGAAAAGTACCAGAGCATGAACAATCTCCTGCACATCCAGCTGCTGATGGCTGTGGGGCAGACCACATTTCCAAGCTATCTGGGAGCCCAAGTTATGGTCAAGAAGTCACCTATATCTGGCAGGAACATTTCAACTTTATAGCACAAGGCTAGGAACACAGGAGCAAAATGCTTTTATTTCTAAATACTGCCTGAATTTTTGAAACCCCATTTTGAATCTTCAGTAGTTTTACCTTCCTCCTGTTAAAACATCTCTTATTCTCACCTGCTTATAAGAAAATTATTATTAAATAACAACAAAGTACTTATGTTGGAGATACTCCTTCTTTCCATTGTAAAGAAAAACGGTGGAAAATGTACAAATTGATCATAATTTCTCTCAACCTATAGTTTCCCTGCCTGGGGAATACAAATAATTTTTTCCCCTGGTCCTATCAATCATAGCTACTCAATCAATTTTGACCAAAAGACCACCACTCTGTCATCTTCCATGGAGAACATACAATGGTTTTCATTTGCAAACAAATCTAGCAGATTTATTTTAGGAAGTTCTCTTCATACTCTCAGTTTCACCCATTTTGTTTGTTGGTGTGCTAGCTTGTAAAGGAATATGTTGTGTCCCTCAGAGTTAAAACTAAAGGAAGCCAAGCCCAAACCCCAAGTCCTCTCAAAAGCACAAAGGGATGTTCTAGGGGCCCCCATATCCCCACATTGCCGCTGCTGCACCTCTCTGATGACAGAAATCCTCTGACATAAGGACAGAGCACAGATGTTATGCATAATGAACCCAGCGGTGAAACTTGGGTGTGCTGTTTTCAGTTAAGAAAGAAAAATAATTTTCCTGCATTTTACACACTGCTTGATCTTGCACTCAGCTAAAAGAGTAGAAGAAAATTTTTTTCATAGAGAGCATGAGCTCAGATCTACCATGTCACTCTATTAAGCTCTAAAAGCTTTGCTTGAGGTGGGCACAGCTATGACAATACCTTCATAGAGGACAAAGTATTTCTTAAAGCCTTTCATGGACTAAACACATTTTCCAGTGCCCCTGTAGGATAAAATGCTATCCCCACCATTCTTTCTTGGCTATACCAATACTGGGTTGTGAAAGCTCCTGAATGGGGTCGCATTTCAGCTCTATGTTCTTCCAGGGTTTATAAACTGTCTTGTGAAAAGATACTGTCACCTTCGTGCAAGAACTGGGACTTGCTGTTGTGAAAAGGAAAGGAAATAGTGTTGGCCAAATGGCACCAAAAAAAGATTGTTCAGTTACCCACACCAGGATTTTGTTGTAACACACATTTCAAAGGAATAGACCTCTGAAGTTGTGACTGTAGTTTGACTGTTTGGGTTTTTTCTTTTATGGTAATTTGAAATCAACAGAAACACACAGAGGTTGCATTGCAGGGGTAAGATTTTAGATAATGTGTTTTGCTCCTACAGAATCACAGCAGAACACAGTAGTTGCTGGCAGCTGGATGCAACCCATCTTTCAGAATCAGATTTCCACTCTACTCACCACTTACTCAACCATGCCTGAATATATTAAGATAGTGTAATATTGGATAGTGGAGAGATCCTACTCTTAATACTCTACATGAGTTTTCCTTTATGTCTTTAGAGACTTCCAATCAGTAAATCTGATTAGAGGCTTTCTTTAATGGTTTGTTCTCCTCTACCCAAAAAAGAAATGTTTAGGAAAGATTTTAAAGGTGCATAATGCTAATTTTCCTTTTTGGAAGTTTTACAACAGTGAACCGCTTATAGAACTCCAACACAGAACTAATCATACTTCTATTGATAGTTTCATAAACTGTGAATGAGATTGGTATTTCTGTATGTTTAGAAGCCCAGTGATATATAGGAATAAATTCTTTAAAACTGTATTTATAGTTCTAACATACAAAGCCTGTTCTACTAAAATTAAAGGAGTACAGGGAACATAGCTGGCTCACGGTTTCCAATAACCAGTAAAACAGCTCATGTGTTCTAAGAACTTCAGGTTTTTAGAAAGATAATGAACACAGAATACTGGATGCCAACCCCATATATGTCTGAAGCACACAGATTATTTCTACCTATTATATGTATTTGGAACCTGAAGAGGAAACAGACTGATCGAATCAACCACTTCAATCTAACTACTTACAGATGACATTTCTCTTTTTAATATATTTCAGCAGTTTGAAATAATAACTTAAAAAACCCCACACAAACCAGCTTTTCTGAAACTTCTATGAAACAGGTGATTCACTTGAAAAGAAATTTAAAAAGTAGCCAGATAATTACCACTTAAAGCAATCTTCTTTTACTCGAAGTTTGTGCTAATTACTAACTCCAATGTGTATTTATTTAAACCACAAGTCTAATTCGTTCAAAGGGGAACAGGGACAATATGCGGGATGTAAGACCAAACCAAGGGATAGTGCAAAAAATTTACAAATGTTTCCTGCAATGTTAATGCAGGAATATGCAGAACCTGGAAAGAATCTAGGAAAGAATCTGTAGAATTTAGCAAAGAATCTGTAGAAAACCTGACTAGAACTATTGTAAGGGTTTGCTCTTTTCAGGGCCGTTCGAGCGCTCACAGCACTGCCACGGCCAGAGCGCTGCCGCAGCGGCGGGTCAGATGTCGTGTTTCCACGCTGGTGACAAACCTGGAGCCGGTGTGACTCACAAGCGGGACAGAACGCTGCTCCGGGGGCTGCTGGCGGTGCGGGAGCAGCGAGCCGGGCTCCGTGCTGTGCCGGGGAGCGGCGGGACGAGGCGCTGCCCCGCTCCGGCCCGGGGGCGCTGAGCCCGGCCCCGCTCCCTCGGCTGCCCCGCTCCCGCTCCCGCCCGCGACCCCCGCAGAGCCCGGAGCCCGGCCCGCCCGGCGCTGCCCCGTACCTGCGGCGCACAGGTAGTAGCGCTGGGCGCCCGCGCCCTCCACCTCGATGAACTCGTGCAGCCTCTGCCGCCGGGGGCCGAAGAGCCTCTTCTCCAGGTCCTCCTTCACCAGCGAGGACATCGCACCGCGGAGCTGCTCAGCGCCGGGCTCCGGCCCCCCGCGCCCCGCAGCCGCCACGGGGCACCAGGGCGGGGGCTGCGCTCCGGCCGCGCGGGGCCGCGGGGCGCGGGGCAGCCATGGCCGGCACCGACCCCGCTCCCTCCCGGACACTTCCACTCCGCCCCCGAGCAGCCGCCGTTAAAACTTCGGCCGCCGGCGCCGGGAGAGGCCGGAGCGCGGATCTCCCCCCCCCGCGCCCGCCCCCCCGCCCGCCCGCCGTGCGCCAGCGGGGCGCTCCCGGCGCAGCGCCCGGTACCGGTACCGGCACCGAGACAAGACCCGGAGCTGCCGTCCGGCCCCCGAGCTGTCACCCGGCCGGGGGGAGGAGACAACGAGCGGAGGAGGACGCAAAACAATCACACTAGAGGCGATTTACCAAAAAAAAAAAAAAAAAAAAAAAAAAAAAAAAAAAAAAAAAGAGAGAGAGAGGCAGCTGTCAACGCAATTCTTTTTAGCAGTAGATGAAAGCGCTAAGAATTTATAAAGGAATTAGACAGCATTATGGCTGTCACCAGTGTTCCTCCCGTAATAGCTTTTTGGCTATTAATAGCGTTAAGGACAAAATTACCTTATGCCACTCCTTATAAACAGAAAGTGAACTCACGTCCAGAGGAGTTGTAAAAGGCACCGCCAGAATGTTTGCACATGTGAGAGGTCTTTCATATCAGCCATAAGTGTATTTGCAGAAATGTTGGTTGTTTCTGCCATTCCACAGGTGTGTGGGTGAAGTTCCTGGAGTTGGGTGCTCTTCTAATTCCAGTATCCATGGTAGCCTGTGCTAGAGTTTTGCACTTTGGACTAGTTTCTGGTTGCTTATAAAAGTTTGGATATTCTCTTCTAATTATTACCTTCAAGCTTAGTATACCTGAATACCTTACTGAGTTTTTCATTTTTGTGATCTCAACGCAACATAGAAAGAAATGTTACCTTGGAATGAAACTGAGTGCTAAAGTGAAGGCAAGATTTAGAATCTGAGGATATTTTAAAAATTTGCAATATTAGAATTATTTAGTGACTTAGGTCTACACGGTTCTTTCATGACATGAAACAAAATGGAACCAAGTTGAAATGATGTAAAATTAGGGAGAATCATCCTCTGCTATAGATACTAAGCATATTGAGTTGACAAGTGGGAAAGGATTGAAAAGAAACTAGGTTTTGATTTATTATCCTTTCTTTTGATCCCAACTTTGTTTGGAAACACAGTTATGATTTTTAGATATATAGATTAATTTCCATCTCTGATTTGTGAGAGTAAAGTTACTCTAAGCATCAGGATTTATAAGTACAGGGCTTAGGGATAAATTTAATCTCTTAGCTTTGAAGTGTTATTTTAGGAAAAGAGCAAGATGCTCACTTCCAAACCAAGACATCCGCATATCAGGAAGATGCCTTCTTATGGAGACTTCCCAGAGGATATCTGAGGCACAGGTTCCTGCCCACAATTTTGATGACTTGGCCATGCCTTGAATATGAGACTGCTGTACAAGCTGGCTTGCAGTTCACTGTCCTTCTCTGTCAGCCAGACATTGGCAGAATTGGCAAGGCTGATACCCCAGGCTTCAGTTCATCACCACCAGTGTTAATAGTGCCGTGGCTGGAGGTTTCAGTGCTCATCCTCAGTGCCAGACTCCTCATTAGGAAGCTGATTTTGGCTCCACCAGCCTGTAGCTCATGTTGCATCTCAGATTCTTCAATATTTTTTTTTTCAGTTCTGAAGCAACAAAAGTACAGACAAAAATACCTTGAGAAAAATACTTGCACCTCTGGAATAATTTTCAGTCAGTGTCTCCCTTGTTAAAGATTCAGTTGGTATCAGAGAAACTGCCTAGAGGGCAAGTGAGGCATCACTGGCGTCTGAGATGTGATGGAGCTAAGACAAAAGTGGTGCATAAATCTGATCTCTCTTGAATCAGATTTTCATTTTTTTTTGTTTGATCATAGTGTGAGTTTCCACAATAGTGTTTTGAGGTTTGATATATTAATATTCTTCTGCAATATCCTTAATTGTGTTCTCAAATGCTGCATTGAACAACTCCTCTGAGTGTATCAGCAGAAAGGTGCAATGATGATTTTAATGGGTAACCTTTTAACAGGAAACATAAAACTTTGTCATTCACTATTGCCTTTGATTCTTTTGATTCTTTATTCACCCATTCTCTGTTACAACATATCAGATTTTAAATCCACCTTAGCTGTGATAGTATGAGCCCAAATCCTAACAGTCTGAAAGGCAACAGTTGAGCTATAACTCACACAACCAGCAAGGATACGCTAACTATGGACTGGGAATAACTTACCTGACACCCAATGTCCCAGCCAGCCATCCCTACCTCAGATAACACCACTCCTTAATGAGGGTCTTATAGCCATAAATCAGAACAAACTAAACTAATTGTTTCAAGCACCACAAAGGAATTTACATCCAAATTTTACTGGGATTTACATGTAACTGTCCAAATGGATGAATTACAGGTGATTGTGGAAGGCACACAACCCCTAGCCCAGACTCACAGTGGTATACAAAGGGAGAAGTAGTAACCAGGAAAGTGTCTTACAACCTTCTGCTAAATATTAATTGCTTCTGTACCTTTCCTTCCCCCCCCCCCCCCCCCCCCCCCACCCCTCCCCCCCGTCGCCGCCCCCCCCCCATTTTTCCCTTGCAATTTTTTCCCATGTCTCAATACAACTTTCTGTACTGTACCCAGGATATTAACTTTAACAGATGTAGCAGCAGATCCTAAAAAGATACATCTCCTTAATCTTCATTGTTTCTTAGTCACAGTGTGGTGGTAAAAATTTATTCACCAGCTTCAGATACAATATTTTTGATGGGTCCCTCTACTTCTTTGGGTCTACCATTGGACATTAGGATATGCATGCAGTGTGATTATTTGAGGCTTGATCCAAAATGCATTACGTAAATAACAAAATTGTCTTTGATTCTGGTGGGCTTCAGAGTAGTCAGTACGCACAGTAGAATAGTGTTTAGGTGGGACTTCACTGTGGTCTGAGTGTTGGATCCTTCCAGAAGATGTACATTTGATCTTTCTCTCAGTTCCTGGCACACCTTACAAAGCAGTGTTTGCTGGAAGCATCTTTCCCATTGCTCCTTGTTTGACAATGTCATGAAATAATGGGAAGGAAAATGCAACATGAATAATAATTTCTCAGAGCCACAAAGAATCCCTACAGAGTGAAAAATGGAATTTATAATAGGCTTTACTTTCCAATACCTGCTGTTTCTGTTTGAGGTTTCAGCCAGGAACAGTTTTCTCTGTTAACAATTACTTTAATATCTGTAAATATTCTTCACAGCTGTGAGTCCCCAGATCACTTTTTTAACATCACAGATGATATTTCAGCATGTAAACTAAAAGTTACAAATGGCATTCTACAGTGACCTAGCTGTACAGAGCAGTTTCCAAAGCTGACTTCAGAAAACTAGTTCTGAACAATCATCTTTTTTTCCCCTGTGATTTACTAATGATTTTTTCTCAGGACTCTTTCCCCACTGGCATTTATAGAGGATCTACTCCTAATTATGGCTAGTTATTCCCATTTTTTTTAGCTATGCCAATAAACTTAGATCTCTGTGCAGTGAAGCATAAACCTAGCTGTGTTGTCCTGAAAACTCTTTGAAGCACCAGAGATTTCATGCAGAAATGCTGCTCAGTAAGCAACAGCTTGAGACACTCAGTTTTAAAATAGCAGCATAGAAATACGTGAAGTAGAAGACGTCAGTTAACCAAGGTTAAAAGCAGAGCTGCGTTTCTCCTGACTGTTTTGAGGAGCCCATTAAAAGAGTCTTTTACCAATGCCAGGATATTTGGGTGCTCAAACAATGATTCAAGATTTCATCAGTTCTGGTAAGGAAAATTAAACTCCAAGTGTGGCTGGTGTCTCTAATGTTGTGATGTAATTACTTGGTTTTAAAAAGCAGTACTGTACTCTTTTCTTGGAAGAAAAGAGGTAAAAGAGTTTATTCTTGAGTTTATCTAACTGACACTCAAATTCCTCAAGTTTATATTGACTTTTTACTGGTTTATCATTTTCAAAATGTAATCATGAGTGTCATTTGCATAAATGATCCCACACAATGCCAGCATCTTATCCAAAATTTTCTTTTTAATAGAAAATAGACACATGTCCTTCATATAATAGTAACCAGATGCTGTTTATGGATGGAGTTTGAAAGCATATTTTGAAACATATTACAAAAGCATGAAGTATCCAACTCTTCTGTGAATAATTTACACATGTTGAATTTTACACATATATGAACTAAAAATTAGGGCTGTAAGTAAATTAGCTTAAATAATAAGACTTTAATTTCCTGTTCAGCAGAGCACCTAATAAGACTTTGATGAATTGCAGCCACATTTAATTAACAGCGTGAAATCCTGGCATGATGGATTCAGCGCTCTGTTATTCAAATATAACCTATTCAATATCATACAGTTTTCTTTGTGGAGGTAAAACTATAAAGATAAGAATAAAGACAAAAAAAAGGAAAAAAAGGTTAAAACAAATCCTATGAGTTTCTATGCATACAAATGATCATTAATCTTCTGACAGCTGAAAGCTTTTGAAATTTTAGGTCAGGATTTTGACAGCTGTGGTGTATTTTACAAAAAATACAGAGGAGAACACATAGTAGAGAGTTACATTGATCAAGAAGTCAAGAAGTATCTTGATAATACATTAGAAGTAAATTAGGTTGTTACACAAATCAAAGTGCCCTTTTATGTTCTCATTTTCTTGTAAATTTTTTAATAAATGGATTTTTTCTTCCAGAGTTACCCAGAACAACTTTAACAGATATTCTGTCAAAAGCCTCTTTATACTTTTTAATAATGATTTTCATCTCTATCTCTGTAGTTGCAAGTAATAAATTTAATTTGTCTTGGCACAAGAACCACTCTCTTCTCTCATGAAAATTGAACATTATTATTAATGTAGATAGTCAATTACTTCAGATTAATGTGGATTTATATTTTAAATCAATACATCACCGTGATGCAAAGCACTCTTAAAACACTGTAAACTTCTGATGGATATCTAATCCATTTTTTAAAAATTCATAAAGTCGGGAATCTATACAACTGCGTAATTTGTATGGATGTTGTATTTAGGCCATGAGCACATAGTTGACAGTTGTGTGCCTTAAAATATATCTTATTCTATATAGATCTTTATAAATTCTCATCTGGTCAGTTACTCACAAATGTTAACGTCAAATACATTAGAAGAAGAAATAAAACACAAAATTTTGAGAGTAAATTTAATTCATCATGGGAAAACACTGATAAAAGAATGGTGGACTTGTCTCCAAATGCTTTCAGAGGTGGCTGCTGTTGTCAAAG